TAGACTTTTCCTTGCTTTTCTAATTTGTTTGCTTCATTGTCTATGGTACCTTTTTAGCAAGATATAGTTTCCTTCCTTATCTCTTTTAATTAGGTGTATCTTTGCTTTTACTTTGTCTAAGATCAGGATTGCTACCCCTGCTTTTTTTTTTTAACTTTAGCTGAAGCATAATAGATTCTGCTCCAGCCCCTTACCTTTACTCTGTGTGTCTATCTGTTTCAAGTATATTTCTGATGAACAACATATTGTAGGATTCTAGTTTTTGAACTACTCTGCTATCTGCTTTCCATTTTATGGGAGGATTCATTTGCATGCACAGTTATGATTACTACCTGTCTATTTCCCTCAGTCCTATTTTTCCTTCTCTGTGTCCTCTCTCTCCTTTCATCCTTTCCCACCTCACCAGTGTTTTGCTTCTGTCTACCACTCTGCTTGATCTACCCTCTCCTATGTTAGTCCTGTCCCTCCCCTCCTTTACGTAATCGCCTCCCACTCAACTTCCCTATCAGGTAAGATAGATTTCTATATTGAACTGATTGTATATTATTCCCTCTTTGAGCCAATGCTGGTGAGAGTAAGTTTCAATGGATGCCCATCGCCCTCCCTCCCATCTTCCCCTCCACTGTAATAGGTCTTTCACACCTCTTCATGTGAGATAATTTAACCCATTCTATCTCTCCCTTCCATCAGGACCCACTGTACTCCTCTTTCTCATCCATTAATTTTTTTATGTCATTCCCTCAAATTCACCTTATACCCATACCCTCTGTCTATGTATATTCCTTTGATCTGTATTGTTAGTGATACAGTTTTTAAGAGTTACAAGTATCATCTTCCCATGTCGAAATATAAACAGTTTAACTCTGTTGAATTCCTTATGTTTTCTTTTCCTTTTTTACCTGTTTATATGTCTCTTGGGTTTTGGTAATGGAAGTAGAATTTCTGGTTTAGTTCTGGTCTTTTCCTGATGAAGGCTTGAAATCCTTCCATTTCGTTGAATGACTATTTTTTCTCTTGATGTGTTATGCTTAATTTTGCTGGGTAAGTGATTCTTGGTTGTAGTCCTAGCTCAATTGCCCTCCGAAAAATTATGTTCATGTTCACGCCTCTGATACTTTAATATTGCAGCTGCCAGGTCCTGTGTGATTCTTATTGTGACTCCTTGATATATAAATTATGTTTTTCTGGCCATTTGTAGTATTGGCTATAATGTTCCTTGGGGTTTTTATCTTGGGATCTCTTTCCTGAGATGATCAGTGGATTCTTTCAGTGCCTATTTTATCCTCTGGTTCCAGGACATCAGGGCGGTTTTCCTTGATAATTTTTTGAAAGATCCTGTCCAGGTCCTCCTTTTTATTGTGGCTTTCAAGTAGTCCAGTGATTCTGATATTGTCTCTCCTGGATCTATTTTCTAGGTCATTTGTTTTTCCTATGAAGTTATTTTACCTTTTTTTCCCCTCCATTTCATTTTTTGAATTTGTTTAATTGATTCATGATGTCTCATAGAGTCATTAACTTTCACTTGTTTTCCTCGATTAACTTTTGTACTTTGTTTTCCGTTTAGCCAGTTGTACTCTTTAAGGAGTTGTTTTCTTCTGTGGATTTTTGTATCTCGTTTTCCATTTGTCCAATTCTACTTTTTAAGCAGTTTTCCAGGCTGTTGACTCTTTTTTCATAATTGTCTTGCAACACTCTCATTTCTTTTCTCATTTTTTTTCTTCTATCTCTCCCATATGATTTTTAAGCTCCTTTTATGAGCTCTTTGATGAGATCTTTCTGGGCTCGAGAGTGCTTCCTGTTTTCCTTTAGGGTTTTTCCCATAGATGTTTCAATATTGTTGTCCTCTTCTGAGTTTGTGTTTTGATCCTCCCTATCCCCATAGAAACTGTCTATGCTCAGTGTTCATTTTTGCTTTTTGCTCATCTTATTTGCCTATTTTATGGATTTTAAAAGTTGCGCTCTCCTACAATAGCACAGGGGGCACTGTCCCAAGCTTCCTGTGCTGGGATCCAGGGGCCTAGTCACTGGCTTTTGTGCTGGGGCCTCAGGCGCTGGCAGCTGGAAGCTCTAGGGGTCTGGCAGCTTACCTGGTGCTGAGCTGGAGTCCTAGAGGTAGTGTGTGGCATGTGTTGAGGCCAGGTGGGATTTTTCTGTGTTTCCCTGGGAGTACATTGAAAAACATGAAGGTTTGGCCACTGGAGGACACCTGCCTATCTAGGGCTGCATTGAAACATATGGAGGTCCACTGCTAGAGACCTCCCTGGACCTGCACCGAAGCATGGGAATGTTTGGCTACTGGGGGCTGCCTGCCTACCTGGGGCTGTGCTGAAGCACTTGAGGGTTCTTTGAGCTGGAGTCTGCTGTTCCCCTGACTATGCTAAGGCAGGTGGGGGATCCTGGTGTTGGCATTTGCCTGTTCCACCACATTGGGGCTCAGGATCTCCCACTGGTTTGCTGAGGTGGGGCTTGCTGCTGGCTTGCTGAGATGCTTCTTTTCCTGAAATGTGCTCCCTTTTTACTTGAGTGAAACAGACCTTTCTTGTTGATCCTCCAAGTTACCCAGGCTAAAAGACTGATCCAAAACTGCTCTACCCCATCTTTCCACTGGCTCCACTGTTCCAGGATTTTTCCTGCAGCACTATTTTCTGTTTTCTCAGATGTCAGTATGGAAGAGTGATAGTGATTTACTGCTTACTCTGCCATATTGGCTACTGGAAGTCATTTCAAAGGCCAAGTCTTAGAGGCTGCTGTGAGGACATTTTCCAGCAAGTAGTGTCCATCACCCTTTTCATCCTTTCTTACCAGCTGGTCAATCCTCCTCTTTTCATCCTTGAGATGGTCCTCTCATCCCCAGACATATATTTTAAATTATCTGGCATATTTGACAGAAATTAGTATTACATAATTTTGCATGATAATTTCCAGTGTTCTCATATCTTAGAATGTTTTCCAGTGTTATTTAGCTGGTTTTTTAACTCTCACTATAAAGTTTCTGAAAAAGAAGCTTGTTACTAAAACATAACGTCTTTATTTATATAATAGATTTATAGCTTAAAAAGACCTTGCCGAGGTTCCAAAAGTGGGTGATACCACCCTCTGAGGGGCGCTAGAATGATCCAGGGAGGTGGTAGCAGGCTTGAGTGCAATTGGGGTGCATTGAATAGAAATAAGGGGGCGGTGGAAGCATGAAAAAAGAAGTAAAGATAAGAAAATTTTGAAAAACCATTCATGTGTTTCATCTGTTATATAAAAATAAACATACAAAATACAAGTTATAATGATTATAGTATAACTGATCAGTGGTCAGATCTGCCAATAAGTCTTAACAAGCAAGTGTTGGGAAATGAGCATGTTGCACATTGTTGGGAAGTTCAGCATGCATCAGCAGGAATATGTGTATGTAATGACTTCCTTACAATACAAAACTATACAGTTACATGACACAATACTGCATCATCAAAATTTCAGTGCAGGAAAAACCCTACAAATTTGCCATAAATTATTAAATTTAAGATGTGTCATTTAAAATATATTTTTATTTTTTGAAATGATGTGGATTTCAAAAGAAAAAAAGCTGTTAAAGGGTTAAAGAAAGTAGATTTCCAGGGAGGCACTGAGTAATTTTTTTTTTTTTTTTTTTTGAGAAAGGGGCGGTAGGCCAAATAAGTTTGGGAACCTCTGCCTTAAGAGGTACTGCAATCCAACTCCTTCATTTTACAGATGAAATAATTGAGAACCAGAAAAGCAAGGGAGAGAATAAGGATTTGAATCTAGTTTCTTCTTACCCCAATCCAGTGTTTTTTATGTTCTATCACTTTGAGTCCCGTTGTCTTAACATTCACTTCCATGTATTTTGAATCTTCGAGCATAAACTTTATAGAATAGATGAAATACATCCAGACTAATTACACAGTCTTGAATAAGTGATAATAAAGATTAGGCTGAACACTGTACTATTTTTCAGACAAAATTTGCCACATCATCTTGGAGTAGCCATACTCCAAGCTTTCTGAGCTTCTGAGGGCACCCATATTTTCCTGATACACCAAGAGTACTGATTTTTAAAAAATAATTTTGTGAAGTTGATATATGGTATGTAAGGGTTCCAGTGTTTCCTTCTGTTCCTCTGGTGTTGGCTATGAAGCAAACATTACCTATAATCTTGTACTTTCTTGACAGTATCAAAAAACTGGTCCATAAGAATTCTGCTTAGGATCTTGCCAGGAAGAGAATCTTAAGATGCCATTATAGTTTCAGTAGTTGAGTTTGTTTCAGGGTTTTTTGCTTTTATGCATAAAGATGGTGATGATACTGCTATTTTTGAAACCTTAAAATATGCCATATCTTGAGGACGAACTCTTACAGTTCACTGTAATGGAACAGATTAGATATTAAGAATTTTTAGGGAACAATATTCTTCCTGTATGAAAGATTTAACCAAAGGATTATGTTTGACACCTGAAAACTGAATCTTATACTCAAGGTTAAGATTTATTATTAGTAATGGGAAAAAAATGTGGTCCCTTTTTAAGCCCTTAAAATATGCTTTTATATGCCTTTTATTTCCAATGATAAATTATTGGATTTTTAGAATTACATTCATATCTAAGCTGTTCCCTAGATGCTTTTCTAGACATTTATGGATAAATCCCCTCATGGGATCTGCTGAAATGTATTTTTTTTGGCTAAGCAACAATCTGCCTCCCAGCATGGAAATATATAGGAATGAGACACAGGAAAAGGACTTCACAGAAAATTCTATATCTGTGTTTTGGCATAGGATAACTATATTTCAGTCACCATGTAGCCACTGGAATTTACACAGTGGTTTAACTATTTGGCTCCTCCCTATTACCATCATATCAAGAAAGGAAACATGACCTTTCTTTTAAAGTCTTTTTTCTTCTCTGAATTTAACTTTATGATCTAAAGGCATATTAAAATTTCAGTCTTAATACTCTTGTTATGTTAACTTAAAGATTTGCCCTTTTCTTTTCTAGGATGAAGTGGCACATACTCTAACAGAAAGCAGAGTATTAAAAAACACTAGGCATCCCTTTTTAACAGTAAGTAATCTTAAACAATAAGTATTTTTCTTTTCATCTTAAAACTTTGTTTTGATCATTATTCTATTCTATAAATTAACTTGTAAACAAAAAACTTAAGATACCTTGTGCTTACTTTAGTCATTCTATTTGCTTAAAGTGATTGAGAAGGAACTCAGATTTTTTCGAAGTTTTAGGAACATTTAGATTGTTATGGAATCCCACATTTGAAAAGAACCTTAGAAGTCATATAGTCCAACCTTACTTCTAAAAATGTGAATCCCTTTCTACCTAGCAAGTAGCAAGTACCTAGGCTTCTGTTTTATAATCTATATATAAGAGGCATCTTATAATAAAGTGAATAAATAGAAGACTAGACTTAGAATCAACAAGACCTAGGTTCCAGCACTGCCTCAGCTACCTATGTGCTATTTAACCTTGAGCAATTCACTTAATTTTTAAGTGCTCCAAGCAGCTTTCTAAGACTATTATCTACAAATTTGTTACCAGTCTACAATTGGAAGAGTTTCACCTTTGGGACTCCTCCACAAAAATGAATTCACATGACTTTACCAATTTGTGTGTAGTTTGATTTGTGATCTTAATGTGTTGCCAGAGTTATATTAGCATATTAGATTCCTTTTTGATTCCTAATTTTAAAGTACCGAAGACTAAGAAAATCATAGATCAGAAGTCCAACCTAAATTTGAAAACAAGATTGTAATATATAAATGCTCAATTAGTATTGAGCCATTGTAGAAATACATATGAAGCAACCTTATAGTAATTATGTCACAACTCAGAGGAATATCCCATAGATAAAAAATGGAAATCTGAAAAGGCATGATATAAAACTATCGTAAGTAAGGTATAAAACTGTGAAGTGTATTTGTGTGTGTGTGTGTGTGTGTATCTTTGTCTGTGTCTGTGTGACTTGGCTATCCCTTTGGACTAAACTGATGGCCCCGTAATCTTACTCCTGGACTCCCTGTGAAGTCACTGTGTCAGTCATGAAGTTCTGTTTATGCTGTGAATAAAAACAGGCACACTGAAACTTAAGAGGTTGTTTCCAAAAAGTATTTGGGATTCTTTAGTTTATCTGAAGCAGAATCTAGTAAAGGGGTTTCACTCCCTATATTTCTAGAGCTATTTTGTTTGTTACTTGAGCTCTGTTAATGTAGATTATGGCAAAACAAGGCTTAAGTAGGGATATATTTTATAACAAAACCTTTGAGTGAAAATAGTTACGTTGTACCAATATGCCATACTGGACTCAGTTAGTAAACTGAAGCATTTAGAGGGAAAAAGTGACATTAAAGACATATTAAAAATCATAATCAATAGATTTAACTATCCCCTAAGAGTACTTGTCTCTACTAGAATAAAGTGAAAGTTGAAGTTGCCAGTAGCATGTATGAGAATTTTGGGGCCCCAAAATTCGATATACAAAGACTCAAAAGGCCACTGTTGTCATATTTATTATACAGTAGATTCAGAAGTGCTCATTATAATTGTAAGGTTTATTTTTAATTTAAGATTATTATAAGTTCAGAAACAAAAAATTCTTTCTCTCTAAATACTCAGGCTGAACAAAATTAATCCAGATTTCTTATAAGATCTCATCTGAGCACTTAAGAAGTATTTCTGTCCATTTCATCAGTCATAACTTACTCTTTTTTAAATACTTCATAATTATCATGATGACAGTGTGGATCAACATTATGAGCATATTTTTTTTTCTTTTTCTTTTCAAGTCTTTGAAATATTCCTTCCAGACAAAAGATCGTTTGTGTTTTGTGATGGAGTATGTTAATGGAGGAGAGGTGAGTTAAAGAAACATACTTAACATTTATGTTTGTGTGATATCATTGGCATTTTTTTATATCTAATTTATTTAAATTAGGTACAGCTGCTCTTTAGTATGTGGATGAAATATAAATCTGTATCTCCTACTATGTGATAGTGACATAATGGTTTTATTGAATAGATTTTTCACTTGATGGGAAGACAGAGAATAGCAGTCATTTTGTCTTATACTCATTACTAGTATTTTTAATTTTATTGAGTAATTTAACTTTTTTTGAGTGTATTTCATTTTCTCCATCTCTTCATGTATTTTCCATTCCTCACTTTTGAAAAAACTTATTAACATAAAGACAGATTTTACTGAAGTAGGTGGTCAGAAATGCTTTATACTAGGAGGATTCCAAAATTCTCTATGTAGTACAGTCTGTAGCAATGATGTCTGGCACAAATAGAAACTGAGGCTACTAATCCATACAAAAGGATCCTTGTGGGCCACACAATGGACTTAGTTTTAAAATGTAATGCTACCTATGTTTTATTGTATTATTTTTATTCATTTATTAAATATTCTCCAAGTACATTTTAATCTGGTTTGGGCTATACTCAGGAGTGTTGTGGTCAGTGTGTTTGTCACCTCTGGTTTATAGGAATAAATTACTCTTTTTCCTCCACAAAGAAAAATCCACCTTGATTTGATAACCTAATTGTCTTCTGCAGAGTTCTCCGAATCCACAAATTGACTGGAATTAACAGTGGAAAAAATTATGAATTTAGCAAATATTTTCCAAGTGCCTACAAATATTTTATTAATACTACATTAGGGTAATATAAAAATGAATAAGACATACCTAACCTCACTAACTTAAAAAATCTACTACAAGAGATAAGATGTATAAAAAAACATAAGGTAAAAAGTGATAAGTTCTATAAAATATGTACAAGGAGTTCTGAAGAAGGAAGAATAAGTTAATATAGGAGAGAAACTGGGAAAGAAAGGGTTCATGAAGTAAATGTTAGCATTTGAGTTAGACCTTCATGGATAGGTAGTAATTTGGACAGAGATAAAAGACAGAATTGGTATTCCAAAAAGAGTTAACAATGTGAGCAAATGCAGAAAGATAGCAAAATATGGGTCAAAATCAGAGAACCTTTAGTAATACAGAATTTGGGAAGTGAACAACAGGCTAATAAGATCACATCTGAGATTGTGGTTTAGGATTTCTAGATGGCTTAACATACAGGAATAAATTGGCCAAGCTAGTAGCTGAGATCCAATATTGGAATGAAATGAGATACATACACACACACACACACACACGAATATTTTATATCCCTAAAAGATAGATACCAAGTCATTAAATCTATAAACATTTATTAAATACCTTCTGTGGCCCAGGCACTATTAGATTTTGGGGATACAAAGGCAAAAATGAAATAATTCCTACCTTCAAGGAGCTTACATTCTATTGGGAGAGATATGGTATAGACATGTAAGTATATATAAGACATATAAAATTAATATAAGGGGATTAGCTGCTGGGACGAATCAAGAAAGATTTCATATAGGAGTTGTTATTTGAGCTGAACTTTAATAGAAATTAGAGGTGCTTAGAGAGGAGTGAAGAGGCAATGTCTTCTAGGCATGGAGCACAGCCTGTAGATTAAAACATTAAAAGCCATTGGGTGCAACTTGAAGTCAAAAGCCAAATGGGAAGAACATGTTTTAAGCTATAACACTTTAATCTTAATGCTCACTTTTGGGACTGTAAATGAACCTGACACGTTTGGAATGTATCCTCATAAAAATCCCAACAATATTAATGAAACAAAAACCTGGACATTATTAATGGTTGGGCCCATCAGCCAGTGTCAGATAAAGAAAGATGTACAATTTCTGTTCAAAAATTAGGAAGAGGACTGATAAACATTCTTAGTGCCCATAATAAAATGTCAGGATTCTACAGAAATAACTCTCTAACAAGCAAACATGACTTTACTATACAATAATCAAAGCTCATTAAAGAGATTCAATGTTGGATTAGTCAAAGGTAATCAAAAATGGCTCATCTCCAGATGCAACCTATGAAATGGCTAATATCCAAGAATGGAATCCAAAGGCCCACTCTGGGCAACATCCTTATGAAGTTTGCCAATAATATATTGATAAAGAAGTGTCAAACAAATAGTTGAGTTGTATGAATTTGTTTTTGAAAGTGAAGATATTTATGATGACACTTCTGTACCAGGTCATTTCTACTAGAAATTATTGGGTCTTAGTGATCATTGTAAACTGTGCAAGGAAAGGGTTGAAACTGTGCCACACATCACTGAAGGCTGTAACAATTGAGTGCCTATTGAATAGCTCACAAGACATAATTTGGTGGCTAGAATTATACATTAGTAGTTTACTTTCTTTCATGGCCTAAAAGATGGCAAATTTTCATATTGATCTCAAAAGATCGGAGAACTTGATCAACTGTCCTGGAACTAGATTGTTACCATAGACTGAACTGTTGGCCACAATAGTTCAGACATACAATTGACTCATTAAAAACTTAAGAACAGCATTCTAAATACTCACAATTTCCTAGCCACATGACATGAAAAGTTTTAAAAACATGGGGATCAAAATCATGTTGGAATAGGTTGAAATATATCTTATCCCTGTTCTCCTGTATTCTATGAGAATTCTACTGAGTATGTGTTCAGTAAACCTACATAGTATGAGCTTGTTTTTTTTATATATAGTTTTGCCCAGCTACAAAAAAGCAGTTAATATCCAATTGTGCATGATCTGTAGAATAAAATATGAAGGAATAATAGGATAAGTATCCCAGGACTGTTTTCATCCAAACCTCATTGAAAAATGTGAGAAAAAAAGGTGAGAAAATGATAGTAAACCAAAAATAATAATTATTGTTGACCCATACAAATTAAAGAAGTGTTTTTAATAGATTCTATCATGCTGAATAATCTGTTACCTGCATGTAATGAAGAGCTCTTAATATACAAAGACCTAACAGAAAAAAAAAATCAAAACTACTTGGTAATAGGATGAAGTAAATATTATCCCCCTCAGTCTATCTGCTTTTGGATTTCCTGAAGATGTTTTCAGTGTGCCAATGGAAGGTAGATGGTTTTACATCCCAATTCTTTTGTTCAGCTACCAAAAGCATCGATTTTATCTACTTATCTAATAGTCCACTGATCATGGAATATAAAAGAACACTAAATGAGTGTTGTCACATCTTGTCCCCTAACCATTTATTTCTGAACTCTATCAAATGTAAGGTGAGGAAAGCAAGAATAATAATAATTTTATAGGCCAATTACAACATTATACATCATACAAAGGATTCACATCTTATGTCACCCTCCCAAGTTATACAAACATAAGAAAATAACATATTGCCTGAAGGACAAAACAGGTGTGCCCCAAAGTCCCAGATGTGTAAAGAATAACTCACTGATTTGGTAATTATTGAAAAAGACACTTTAAAACATTAACATTTATAACACCTTTATTTATTGTTGCAAAACTTTTGACTCAGGGTCACACAGCTAGTAAATATCAAGTGTCTGAGGCCAGATTTGAACTCAGGTCCTCCTGACTCCAGGGCCAGGGCTCTGTCTACTGCACCACCTTATCTGCCCTAATTGCCTCGCCAAAAGTAAATAAATAAGTAAACCAACAGGTGTAGCTCAATACTATGAAGTATAAATTCCAGAAAATCCTTGAGTATTCAGCAAATAAACTGTACTGGAACCAAATAATATATCCCAGAGAAAATATGCCAGCAGTCAATCAGATATAACATTGACTCATATGAATTTTTTAAAATTAAATTTATTTGTTTGTCACATTTTAAGTTCTGAACTGTTTCCCTCTCTCCCTCCCCACACTGCAGTAGAAAAGGCCACTATTTGACACAGATTTATAAATATATGTAAAACCATACTATGCATACTTCCATTTATCAGTTTCTTTGTCTGGAAGTGGATAGCATCTTTTTTCATAAGTCCTTTATAGTTGATTTGAATATTTATAGTATGCAGAATAACTTAATCATTAATAGTTGTTTTTCATACAGTATTGCTGTTGCTGTGTGCAACATTCTCTTGGTTCTGCTCATTTCACTTTTCATTATTTCACACAATTCTTTTCATATTTTTCTAAAATCAACCAGCACAGAAGTATTCCATCACAATCATGTACCACAACTTGTTTAGCCATTCCCTGATTGATGGGCATCCCCTCAATCTCTAGTTCTTTGTCACTACAAAAAGAGCTGCTGTAAATATTTTAGAACATATGGGTTCTTTTCCTTTTCTTCCTGATCATCTTGGGAAACAGACCAAGTAGTGGTATTTCTGGGTCAAGGAATATACACAGTTTTATATGTCTTTAGGCATAATTCCAGATTGCTCTACAAAATGGTTAGATCATTTCCTGGTGTGAATTAATGAATTGGTGTCCCAATTTTTCCACATCTCCAACATTTGTCATTTTCCCCTTCAGGTGTGAGATAATATCTCAAAGTTGCTGTAGTTTGCATTTATCTTGATTTATAATGATTTAGAGCTTTTTTATATGACTATATATAGTTTTAATTTCTTCATAAAAAAAACTTCATATCCTTTGGTGATTTATGAATTGGGTTTGCTTCTTTCTTTTTTTTTAAATCAAATTAACCAAAGGTTTATCTATTTTATTGTTTTTTTTTTCATAAAACCAGCTTTTAGTTTTATTTATTGGTTCAATAGTTTTCTTAATTTCAATTTTATTAATCTCTTTTGGTCTTCAGAATTTCTAATTTGGTGTTTAATTGGAGATTTTTAATTTGTTCTTTTTCTAGCTTTTTCAGTTGTATGCCCAATTCATTCATCTCTTCTTTCTGTGTTTTATTCATGTAAGCATTTAGAGATATAAAACTTCCCATAAGGACCACTTTCATTGCATCCCATAAGTTTTGGTATGTTGTGTCATTATTGTCATTCTCTTGGATGAAACTATTGA